TAAGGTCTGACTTGTACTTCTGTACCAACTCTCATGCACCTCTGCCAGTCATCCTGCAACATTCAGCTCTTGAGACCATTTCATACTGTCACCTTTTCTTCACTCGATCCATCTATGTCCTCTGCCTTCCTGTATGCCAGTAACCAACAATCTTCCCATCTGCACATATTAAACCAATTGCTAGCATCCATCACCATTTAAAAGCCATTGTCTGGATTTCCACATCCTGCTGTTATTGAGGAGCCCGAGATACATCCTGCCAACATTTATCTATTAAAACTCCATTAGATCTGCACTCTCCAATGCCCTATCTGCTCACACCGGATCTTCTGTAATGCTGCCCCATATTAGGATCCATCTGTAGCAGATATTAATGTGACTATTAATGGTATCCTAGCTTTCATGAGCACTCATGTTATACTAGAAACGGCACCAAACTACTGTAACAGAGGACCTTACAGCAACAGAATGAAGTATGAGTTGGATTTATTTGTGTATAGTACGATTCTGTAATTGTTTTAAATTAAAGCAATAAATGAAAACCAATTACATTTTCTCCCTTTATTGAATATCATTGTTTAGTCAAATAAGATACAAATAAAACTATTCATATTGTTATGAGGTGATATTAACTTCTTTTTTTCACAGAATGTGATGTTGAAATGATCGTGCTTTTTGTAGAAGTGATGCTTGGGAATGTTCACCTGAGCAGAAAAACTATGTTATGTTTAGAAGTAAGGCAGCGCGCACAGGCATACAGAATCTGGTCACATTTCAAAATAAGAGACCCAGTGCAGGCTAAATGTTACATCTTTGAAATGCTACCGCTGTGATTTGAAGGTCTGCAAAGGACAAGCCAACCCCTAGCTGGAAAATGAAATGTCACAGACATGCACTGGTGTACATCCATCCATCTCTAAAAGCTCATTTTTTCCAGATTTTTGGTGAATCTAGTGTATAATGTTTCCTCAGAGATAGATGCTGACCGATAGCCATGACGTATAGAGAGAGAGCCATTTAATCGAGATATCCTAGACTAAATTGAGACTAAATTGTAACTATGGAGTAATGAGGCTAATCCCTTTTGACTAGCACGAACTCAGTCTTCTGCATTAGTAGCAGTCAAGTTCAGATTTTTATTTGATTTTAAAGGGGTTTTTTTTATTATTATTTTGACAACCGGTGGTTTTTTATGTTATTTTGCTATGTTTTAAATGATGTCACTAAATGAGATCTCACCCAGTGACCCTGCACAGAACATGTTCATTATGTTTACAAATACACATCTATTTGGATTACCTCACCACTCTTGGAAGGCATACAGCAATGTTAACATAGCTATGAAATCAGAAGTGACAGTAATTAAGTGAATCCACCCAAAACTGACATGGCTAAACCTAAACACCAGTACCAACAAGATCTGCAGCAGCAATGTAAGACACTTGATGATGTCAATAGCAGTACACATTGATAGTAAGAGCGATGATACTGTGAAATTGATGCTCCGCTGTAAAGATGTACTGATATGTTGCTATAAAGGAAATATGAAATAAAAATGTGACAATCTGTGACAAAAACCTTACCCAGATCTCCGTGAATCCAATTTTACACTCATACAATTGTGCAAATAACCTGTATCCAGCCATTCATACATCACAAAAGCAACAACAAAACCTACTGCAATAATTCACTGCCAGTGAGCCCTGAAAACAAAAGCAAGTGTGCAGAGGATCCAATACTCAAATCCAAGCGCTGGAATTTGAGCACTATAAAAATTAACAGCATGAATTAAAGTGCAACAGCCAAACATCAACCATTAAAAAACACATACTGTCACAGTCAGCCTTCACTTCAAGAACTTGATTTACAATTAATATCATATGGTACCACAGATGGTGGAGCAGTAATAAAGAAAAAAAAACACAAAAAAGAGAAAGTCACTAGGCACCAAAAATACATCAAATAGATCTGACAGAAAAATAAAAAGTCTCCTAGTTTATTGATAATCCCAAGCACAGAAACTAAACAGTGCCAACACATAGTTTATCTGCGCACACAAGTGACATCTTGCCTTTGTGATTAAAGCAACAAAAACAGCTATTTAAAAGAAATAACATAATAAAAAAGGACAATGACATTCGAAGGAATAAGTATTGGCGAGCAGCTTTGAGCACCTTTGAGGTTATTAACATAAATGTGTAATCAGCCAACTGCAGCTTTGAAACTCAGTGTAGCCATGGTGAACAGAATAGGGCAGAGAGGGGGTTTAATAGGTTATTGTTGTTGGTGATAAATGAGATGGTCTGGGCATTTAGAAAATGCTGATCTGCTGAGGAGAATGGTCAGGAAATGTAAATTATCTAATGAGGGGCAGTACCACGGACAAAAATACCTTGCCGATGCCGGAGTTCAGAGGAGAATGTCCAGACTGCTTTGAGATAACAGGGAAAAATCAGTACCACAGTAACAAAAATAACTACTCAAAACAATGCAAAGTATGCAGAAGTGCTCGGAAAACACAGCGTCTCAAACCTTGAAGCAGATGGGCTACAGCAGAAGAAGACCGTGCCGAGTCCACTCCCATCAGACAAGAACAGGAAATGGGTTGCAGTTTGCACAGGCTCACCAGAATTGGAAAAATGGTGTCTTGTCTGATGCGTCCCGATTTGTCCTGTGACATTTGAAGTCGGTATGGACAGCATAAAATCATGTTTCCATTGTTTCTTTGTGTCAGGAGTTCAGGCTGGTGATGGTCTAATGGTGTGGGGATATTTTCTTGGCACACATTTTCTTCTTATTACCAACTGACCATCATTTAAACACCATAATGTACCCAGGTTTTGTTGCTGACCATGTCCATCCCTTTATGACCAGAGTGTACCCAGCTTTAAAAGTCACAAAGGTGATGATCTCAAACTGCTTTCTTGAGCATGACAGTGATTTCACTGTAAATGGCCTCCACAGTCACAATATCTCAACCTAACAGAGGACACTTAACAGGAGTTTCATTTTAGTCAGTTGTGAAGTCAGATGGCAGCGGCCCAATCTGGTACCCACTAAGTGAATGGATTTGCAGGGAATTTTATTTGAT